TCCTTCCCACTGTTAAATACAGAAACTGCTGTTCATCTTACCAGTTTTTTTGACAAACTACCCCAGCTGCCCAGAGTCTGGATGGTTTTTGAGATGAGCGTGAGCGTGCGGGAAATCTCAGGATCCTAAAATTGAAGACAATTAAAAATATTAGTAACGTGTAAGCCATGTGTGAATGTGTAGTGTGTTTGTTCAATGGTTAGCTGTCCAGCGTCCATGCACTTACAGGATGATGGGAGCGGAGCTGGAAGGAGTGTGGAGACAAAACAGCCACAGCAAAGAACCGCAAGAAAACGAAGCTGCTCACCGCTGAGTACTGAACGTGAGGGTCGGCTGTCGAGAGAGAAAGGAAGAATGTGTTTGAGAAAGTAACAGCTTCCATGTTCAACTCAGAAATAAACATCAGAAAAAATACTGAGGTTGAATTTATTCTCCATCATTTTACTATGAGATGTTTCTAATTCTACAAGATGAAACTCAACTCAAATTAGATTTGGCTCCACCTGGTGGTAAAATATATCAACACACTAAAACCCAAATGATCTTATCTGTTATGTTACAAATGTAACATATATCCACACGTGTTGTTTTAAAGTTTCTTTTAGATGCCTCATTGGTAATTTCCCTCTCCATATACAGACTCTAGTGTTTACCTGGGAAACGTTTACAGGCCAAGTGTCTCAGTAACCTGAAGACATCACACATGAGCGGGGGACAGCTCGAACTGGACTGGGTGATGGAGGAAAAGACCTTCTGGACGTAACCCTGTAGGTTCTCCTGCAGAGTTAACAACAACATCAGTACTACTCTACATACCATACCAAAGATACCATGCACAATACTGAGAGGGAAAGAATTAACTGAAGGAAACACAAATCAAGAATGATCCATGTGGTATATTTCACAATCCGTGGTCTGTCAGCCAGAAGTATTGTTTCACAAGACATACTGTTTGGTTGCATCAAAATGTTGTATAGACTGAAGTTGTACAGATTTGTGAGCATGATCAAACTCAGAAGAATTTCTAATACATCAGCTTGTCTGTGGAGAGGAGTATAAGAGACAAACACATTTACCTTGTTGACTTCTACGTTGTCACCTTCCTTTAGTTTAACAGGGTCTATCTCACAGGTTTTGTTGGATTCACAAATCTATATAAGATTGAGAGGACAAAACAAACCACAATCAGGTTTAGATCAAATGTATTATTTAGAAATAAACAAACTTGCATTTGTGTGGAATTTCAGATTTTATTCCTCTTTTCTTGTAACTAGAACTAAAACTGACTATAGACTAAAACTGGATAAGATGTTTACAATCCCTACCCC